AACGAATGTCGAACTTGAAAAACGAATGTCGAACTTGAATAACGACTGTTGAACTTGAATAACGAATGTCGAACTTAAAAAACGAATGTCGAACTTGAAAAACGAATGTCGAACTTGAATAACGAATGTCGAACTTGAATAACGAATGTTGAACTTGAACTTGAATTTTGACAAGAAAAACGCGCCATATATGTGAGTTGTTTTAACCTATCAGAGGGTTGTTAAATACTGGTTAGAAAAATAGGGGTCACCATGCATCTAAGCGAGATAATTTGAGGTGAATATTGGTAAAAAACAGTAAAAAAATCGATAAATATGCGGATGTGCGCACTTGAACACACAGCTCTTCTGTGAAGTTAATGTTTTGCTTATGTTAAGTGTTTATGTTTTAAAATATAAATTGGTGATGCATACAACGATTTTTATCAAAATAGATGAAATTCAGTCGATGGATGTCACAATTAATTACATGTATTGTTAAAGTTGCACGTTGAAATCGAACGTAATGTAACGTAATACGATAAAAATGTTTTCATAAATGAATATCACGATCCAATTATTTTTTATTGAAATCATCTAAAAACCTTGTTTTATGTTCAATGTATGAGTAGCATTTTTAAGTAGGGTATCCAGGTATTTTGAAGAGTTATTTGGGTCGCAACCTATCCGTTTCTTAAACTGCGACATTTTCTCCCGATCCCTCCCCCGATGGGTTAAAAATTGTTACTTCTAATTGCATTCTGGGATAGTTTCAATATGGCGGATGTTATCTTCTCGTCGGTTCGAATTTAGTTTTCCTTTTAAAAGAAAAACAGGAGATTGACTAATTTCTTCACTTAAACAGGGTAAGTAGGACCTTTGGCAGTTCTTTTTTTCATTTTTCATTATTGAATGAAAATCATTATTGGTATAAACAGATGTTTTGTGCACGATAAACAGTCGTGAGTGCTACCTGAAGCTCAGTTAATCAGTAATTATAATATGACTGAAATCTAACGCGCGCTCTGATTGGCTAAAAAGCTATTAACTATTTGCCCATGGGCTGCAGGCTCACGTCATTTCCTTTCTCTTGTAATTTTTTCTTACAAAAATGGACGAAATATTTCCAGATTTGCAAGACATTTTTGATTGTGAAATGCCAGACTTCACTTTAGAATTAGAAAGAGTACCATATGAGAACCCTCAGCAAGTTCAGACAGACCAGAAGAAGGGACGCTTTGCTGAATTATCGGAGAAAGATCTCAACTCCCTGATTGAGAATCGATTGTCAGCAAAAACAAAAAAGGCAACAAACTGGGCGATTTCTACCTTTAAGAGTAAGTAAAATTGTTTTGTTTTGGGTTCATTTTATTTAATATTTTATTCTCATTGAAAACAAAGCCTACAAAGTGTTAGCTCTTACAAATGTCAATAGGATATTTTCTAGTTTTTTTTTCAAAACTACAAATTGTTAACCTAAATTGGCTTAGTTTTTTATAATGTTTATATAAAAGTTTATATAAAAGTTAAGCTTATATGTTAGCGAATTCATTCATGTTTGCACAATAATAATGCTAATTTTTTTCCCCTTTTAGCATGGTGCAGAGAAAAGAAAATCCAAATGCCCCTCGAAAAAATGACCATCGGCCAACTTGACTTGAATTTGCGAAGGTTTTACACCGAAGCGAGAACCAAAACAGGCGAAGACTACAGAAAATCAACGCTGTTAGGTTTAAGGCATGGGCTTGAACGTTATCTCAATCAGCCACCACTAAACAGAGGCCTGAAAATCTCCCAAGATCCACGTTTTCAAAAATCTAACCAAATGCTTGAAAGCACCACTCACAAGCCACCTATCGAAGAGGAAGATTTGGTGAAACTCAAGGCAAGTCCAGTGATCAGCTTAGCAGTAAGCAGTTAGCTTAGCTTAACAGATTGTCAGTCTAAAAAAGAAAAATAAACAAAGCACCACTCACAAGCCACCTATCGAAGAGGAAGATTTGGTGAAACTCAAGGCAAGTCCAGTGATCAGCTTAGCTACTCCTTTGTCACTCCTGTGGAATGTATGGTTTCACGTCCTTTACTTTTGTAGAAGAGGACGTGAGGGACAGAGAGAACTCTCAGTAACGAGTTTTAAGTCTGAGAAAGATCCCAGTGGATGCAACTTTTTCACTTTGTCTCATGACGAAGTATCCAAGAATCATCCTGGAGGTGTCAAAGACTATGAAAGTTTTGAAAAAGATGCGAGAATGTACGAAACAGACCATCAACACGACGGTTTTAAAGCCCTGAAGTTCTACTTGTCCAAAGTTAACCCCAACTGCAGCTCTTTTTTTCAATATCCTCGCCGAAACAGGTCTGCAAATGACGATATCTGGTTTGAAGCTCGACCCATCAGCCAAAACAAACTTGGAAATATGATGAAGGACATCAGCAAAGCGGCAGGCCTCTCTAAAACCTACACCAACCACTCAGTTAGGGCTACATCAATAACAGTGTGGTCTAACAATGGAGTGCCAAATCGCCACATTATGGTCATATCTGGCCATCGTAGCGAACAGAGTTTGGTCCATTACGACTCACGTCCTTCGACTTCTCAGCTTTACAACTGCAGTGCTGTCCTTTCAAAAGCCATGGAAAAGCCGAAAGAAGAAGCAGTCCAAAGCACACTGATAAAAAGTTCACCTATTATCAGTCCAATGGGTGTTCAGTCTTTGTCTTCTCTTGGTCAACATGGCTTTTTTAACTCATGCACCATTCAGAACTTGCAAATTTTCGTTGGCCATGCTAACAAAACCCAGTTGTAAACACGTGTTCTTTGAAGTTCACTCATATTATTCATTATTCTTGCATTTAGAACATTTCTAATTCTAAGCAGAGTAAAAACCCACTTGATCAGATGCACTTTTTCCTTGTACATTGATTATATTTTCCTTTTTGAAAATAAAACTCTTCTAGATTTTTTTAAAAAACTGCCGTGTCTTGTTCTGTCTCTCCGAGTGTAGAGCTTAAATGCATGTCTATGATTTATATAACGCGCGCTCTGATTGGCTAAAATGCCTATGAACTATTTGCCCATGGGTCGCACGGTAGATTTCAGTTATATTATAAATCAGTTAGACGACATGAAAGCGCTCGCCCATGGCGATATAGACGCACTTGAGAAAATATAAAGAACTCTTAACAAGCTAGAGTGTCACTCGGCTTCGCCTCGTGCCAGTCTTTCGCTTGTTAAGAGTTCTTTATATTTTCTCTCGTGCGTCTATATCGCCATGGGCGCGCGCTTTTATGTCGTCTAGCTTATGAAGGTACCAAGCTGTCTAAGAATTAATTACTCCTTTCACATATGTAATATCCAGATGTTTAAAAACGGTAATTTATTTTATCATATGACCCGTATGGCCCTGCTCGCGCGCTCTAATAAAACCATTGGAAAAAGTCACGTGATGGGGGCCGGANTATTTCAATATGTCATATAGAAAGTGAGTTATGTAAATGCATTTTTATTATCACTATTTAATAGATAATCACGTGGACACAAAGCATTCATGGGTATAATGCACCCTTAACCTCCTGCATTCTACCCATGAATGCTGTGTGCCTCAGTGATTATCTATTAAATATTGAATGGATTATGAGACATCCCTGACTGCAGCCTATTTAAACACAGGCTATGGATATAAATACTTGAACATATTATACATTGCAAAAGTTTTTCAGGATTATTGTCCCTTGTGAGGAAAAAAAAAAATGATATTCACATTCTTCTGGCTCATCAGATGCTTCAGAGAAATGAAATTACAGTTGATGGTTCCCCAAAATTAACATCGAACAATAATCACAGTGCATTATTTTGTTTTAACTTCTTGATTATTYTTATGTATAGGTGGTAGGCGAACTGGTTTAGATTTAGAAAGTGTGTTACAGTTTGTGACAGGAAGTAATGAAGAACCTATACTTGGTTTTTCCATTGATCCATCGTTAACCTTTCAYGAGGTTACTGGTAGTTTCCTTCCAACAGCAAATACCTGTTCGAACACCTTAAGTCTCCCAAGACCGACAAGAGAACATGAACTTCCAGAAGAAAACATATTATTTGAATTGTACGATATGGCTTTTACAAGTTCCTATTTTGGTAACAAATAGATGAGAGTAAYGGAAGTGTTGCCTGATGCACTCATCCAGATCTATCAGATTGTTTCAAATTTCTTCTAATTGCTTTGAAGCTTTAATTATAGTTKCATTATTGCTATCCCTTTAGATGTTACTTGTTCATACCAATRTAACACTTAGATAATCAGGATGAAGTTGCATAAAGCAATTAATTGCTGGTCACTTATTAAAAAAACAGCATTTAATGATTTGAATGTAACACATTTGGCTGGTTAAAAATTCATCTGTGTTTTCAGCCTTTATCATATAGAATACCATAAGCTTGGGTACATATATTTTTTTATTGTAATTGCAGTTGTGTTTTTTGCCAAATTATTACCCATCCAATAACTGGAAATTAATTTCAAATCAATTTTGATTAATTACTTATTTGGTAAACTTGTCAATGAATAGTAATTTTGGCATCATTCTAGTTCTTCAAATTAACTGCTGTAATCTACTCTCTAATTTTACTCTRGCAATTARTAAATAAGTTTWAAAAAAGTTATATTGACATAATATGGTTTTAGTTTAATGGTTTGATGAAAAATGAAATGTACTTTATGATGCATTTGATGTATTTAAACAATCAGATACAAAAGAAAGTGTTTTCATGTACAAGTCAATACCATATGAATCACTTGTATCAAGTGGATTTACAAGAACTTTAAGCCTTCCATAATCAGCCTCTTGTAAAGGACAGTTAACARGAGGAATTTCAATGATATCACCATCTTCATCTGGACCACTYCATTCACTGCATGGTAATGGSCCATCCCAGTCAATCCCATAATTATTACAGTTACCCTATAACACAATTGGTTGAATAAAAAGTTAATGTTTAACATCAGTAGTGAATGCATCCCAGCAATAATAATACCTTTAATATGGCCCWTATTACATTAATATGTCATAGAGGTGTAAGGAAAAGAAGAGCTAAGGGTGAATATGGATGATAATCCAGCCCCACGTAGTTCCTCCCTAGATCCTCCTAAGTGTCCAGCTGCTGGCAACCAGTGCTGGTCATAGCAGGACTACCATCATATGTTATACCATCACTATAGTATCAAACTAAACTTTCAAAATATTATCATTATATTCAATGTGTGACATGGCTCCTTACTTGTAGCAAATTTATCTAAAGCAAATTTCTGTTCGATATAAACCTGCACTAGTGTGTAATTTTTCTCATCCCATAATAAATCCAATACCATTGTTCTAAATTTCACATTAACTTAACAGTTTTGTTTTTTATGTGTGCAAATATCAGGGGCAGATCCACGAATCACTGAAAGGGGGGGGGGTGAACAAACTGAACGAAAAAAAATATTGTACTTTCTCTCTACTTAAATTTACTCTGCACTTCTTTTCTTTTGTTTTACTTAGCAAAAGGGGGGSCCCCTGCCCCCTTCAATCCTCCCCTAAATCTGCCCCTGAATATATGTGATCATTATCATTATTACTAGTTCTGTTATACCTCCATGTCTCCAAATGTTTCCTTGGCCACAGTTAAGCTGGAGTTTGCAATACTATTCATACCCAACATCCACAGCTGCATTGGTGTGCGATGACCAGCTGATGAGATCTTGTGATGGTTCCAGCCAGAAACAAAAKTTTGTAAAGTCCTGTTATATCTTTCAATGTATATGTAGTGTAAGCAGAAAATATGGCTATCATCATTGGGATTGAGCACTTGACAGGCCTCCATATGATAGAACAGGTTGTAGAAAACGAATGTAACTTGGTAATACATGTCTCTCCAAAGCCKCTCTATCCTCTGATTGTGTACACTTTTTCCTGTGATCATACTTGCTCTTCCTGGRCCTCGTGCAGGGTGTGAAAGCATAAACATCGACACCTCCACATTCTCGCCACCCATGTCACTCCTCACCCTTGATGGTAGACCAAAAAAAGTGATAGCTTCTTTGAATAAACCAAGAACTGTTTCTGATCTATTGTTGTTTGAACATTTTAAATGGACAATAGATCTAGAGAATCCATCAATCCCCCCATGAACTACCAAGAAGTATCCAGCGATACCTTGACGATAAAAATGCAAAAGTAAACATCTTAAAAGATGAAGAGTTTAAGCTTTCCAGACAAGCCTTGATGTCCAGACGACGAGAATTAAGAAAAGAGGGCAAAGGAAACAAGCCAAATGCTACTGCTCCTCTGACAAGCAAAGATATTGATGCTATTTTTAATGAAAACGAGTTTGGAGTCCATGATCCAGAGATCCTTTCCCGTACTATGTGGTTCTTGATTATTTTGCATTTTGGTCATAGAGCACGACACGAAGYGAGACAGCTGAAGTTTGGAGACGTACTTTTGAAGAAAGATGAAATAAATGGCRAAGAGTATGTAGAGTGGTTCCAAGAAAGAGAAACTAAAACCAGACACGGCGATGAAAATGAACACCAGAGAGCTTTCCGACCAAGAGCTTATGAGAGCGGCGACAAGAAATGTCCTGTGGCCTGCTATAAGCAGTTTGTTTACAGGCGTCCCGAAGAAGCCAAAAGTCCAGAAAGTCCGTTTTTTCTTGCTATAAATCATAGAAGGATGCCAAATGATCAAGTTTGGTTCCTAAACAGACCGATGGGAAAGAACAAGATTGGTGAATTCCTGTCTCAAGCAACAAAAGATTTGAAGTTCACGAAGTCAAAAGCCGGTAAAATTACCAACCATTCCSTACGTAAAACTGGTATCACAACACTCCTGGATGCTGGTGTTCCACACAACATTGTCGCTCAACTRAGTGGCCATAAGAGCCTTAAAAGCCTCGACAGTTATGCGGTTGCCTCTGAGAGGCAACAACGAAACATGTCGAAGATACTGAGTGATGTTGAGAACGTCAAGCACGAAGCCAGCAGCAAGCAATCATGTCTCCCAGCGCAACCGACTACAAGTTCAACTGCCGCTGCAGGTTCTTTTTTKGGGGGAGCAAACATTGGAGTATTGAACATTCAGAATCTTGTTCTTTCAGGCCATGAAGAAAGCTCTAGTTCGTGTCTGGTCAAACCCAAGAAACGTCGTTTTATGATCGAGTCAGATGAAGAAGACTAAAAGTCTAAAAACGTTGAAATTTGTCCATGAAAACACTTAGAGTTGACATAGACATTCTTGAGTTCTCAAGCTGCTATTTTTTCCCGACTTTTGACCAAATAGCTATTTGCGAAGTGTATTAAAACAACTTAAAACTTTCAATGTATTAAAAATAATTTTACTTCTTGAAATGTGCCTCGTGTTTACAGTGACTGTTAAATGGCTTCTTTTCAATCAAATAAAAAGGAATTCTCCTATTGGTTCTCGTTTACGCGCGCTGTATTTATCAAGTTTAGCAAGATCTTTCAGCCTTTTTTACGATAAAAATTGGGTCATATGATAAAATGCTTATTGACTGAGTTGGGTCGGGCCGGACGGGAAAATATTTGGCTCTTGGTCATGTCGTACGGACCGAGCGCAGCGAGGTCCGTACGACATGACCTCGAGCCAAATATTTTCCCGTCCGGCCCTCCCACTCAGTCAATAAGTACATAGTCCTTCTGCATAATGAAGAAATTATTAACAATTTGTTTAATTATTTCTGGTATTTTATTTTTCTCTTCTTAGCGAACTAAAAAGCTATAAATACTGTATACATTTTCTTCTTCTTTACATTGATTTGACATTATTAATTTATACCGAGAAAAATCATTTTAAGCACACTTATCAATGTACTCCTTTATTTTTTGCGGGATTTTTTTTTGATTTAGTCACTTTTGCTTTTTTTTCGTGATTCTTAGCTCCAAAGACATTCGTGAGTCCTTCAAGTTCACCTCGAATATAGATTAGCTTCAGGTGTTTGTAGCTAAGCCCTGACCCAGCAATTCTTCGTGCCATCTGCAATGAGAGGACCCTCTGTACAACTYATGGTTGTAGAGATGGAAGATTTAAAGATACTCTATTATGATGCTCTAGAGATTGGCAGACATACAGTTCTTGACAAATCACCATTTCATAATATGAYAATAATTAAGAAATGAAGCCTAATTTAGTTAGCAGTGCCTTATGACTTTTCAATCTACTTTTAATAACTCATTGCATTTTTGTATCATGTTAAATTTTATAAAATGAACTTTTTTAAAAATACTATGCTTCAATGCAATTTACCCAAATTAGAAGTTTCCAGGTCAAACACAATTATGGTTGATGCTTGTATGGTATCCATTCTTARCGGAGTTTAATTTGGAGCAAACACTGGATTTGGGATATTTGTCAAATCATCTAATTGATCTTTGGTGCTAAATTGAACTCCGCTTTTATATGTAGGACCCTCCAGAACTTCGGACTCCTTTGTATTCATACTTCTTTGTTTTCTTCTAACRATTCTATTTTTCTTGTACTGCTTGGTACTTTCTCTGTGCTTCCTCATGCTATATTGTCTATCTCTTTCTGAATTAAAATTCATCGTAATTCTTCCTGGAGATAAGTTGTTTGCTTCATTCAGCTGAAATAGTTATGTATTGTCAGAGCATATGTTATCAAAACTCCTGTAGTAAAACTATAGAGGCTGCCTGTAATGAGCAACTACTTAATTGCTTCCTATATTCCATCGAAGCAAAATCCGGCTCAAACCAAGTTGAATATAAAATATATTACATCATGGCTGTTTAGTAATAGTTTTTTTGACTATTTCAGATTTTTAAAAAAATGGTCTATCTTCATGAAATATTACTAATTCAAAAATACCAGCTAGCACATAAGCTATTGTTATCAACTATCGTTCTTTATGTTATTTATCATTGATAATAATCCCAATGTCTTAACTAAAGCAAATATTAATCTTAATTGTAATTAAATTTACCTGACTGATCACTCCATAGCCATTGTTTTTTGTAGCAACAGCTAATCCCACTCTGGTTGCCAGACTCTCTGAACCACTGAAGTGGATTCGATTTGGGGCTACGACAGTAATGCTGTTGTTAACTCCTTCATTGCTTTGAGTAGAACCTAAGGGGGCAAGTTTGTCTGCATAACCAGCAAAGATATCAAAAACCTAAAGAAAAATACACAACTTCGTATATTAATTTTTATTTGGTAGAATATTTAGCTTTTTTTGTATTGGCACCAAGTTCCACATGAACTGTGATCTCCAAATGCATGTTGTGGAATCACCTTACAGCCATGTGCTATACCTTGAGGGTTGCCTTTATTTTGAGTCAGAACATACCCAAAACATTTTGTGAGGTATTCTGTTACGGTTTTGCTCAAGGACTTATGCTTAGMTCCAATTTTCAACAGATGACTATGCAGTGCCTTTTTGGCATGACCAATATCASACCATATGCTAATGTTTGGATCGACTTCCTTATGAACATGGGCTATGGTTGTAGTGTCTCCATCCATGATTATATTTCCTATAATGGTGACATATAAATAACAAACATTAATTCCAACATGTATAGTATAAGTAAATGACCAGTTTTTAAGGATCAACAATTCATGATTTAATTCCTACACATTACCTAAATTGTATGTTATGTTCTTTGTTTCACCTTGAGTGTTGACTTGCAGTTCGCCTGCCAATTTCTTACTTAGCTCTACCTGGGGAAAACCAAAGGAGGCAGTTGCACGCAGTGCTTACCAGAATGAAATGGAAATTGTACATGACAATTTCACAGTGTCAGATAGTGGCCTCTACATAAATCTAAAATGGCCCTTCCTTGGAGCATCACCATCGTAGATAAAACAACAGGGAATCATGTTTCTTATGCATAATAGGTGGAGCTTCCAATCCCCCTCTCTCGAGGCCCTTAGCAGAAATCTCGACAACGTCTAAATAAGTTATCCAGAATTGGGAGAGTTTTCCGTTCTTTTTCCTCAGAAAATCCATATRCTTCCTAGCCAGCGTAGCGGCTCTCGGGGGACTGGGGAGGGAAAGGGGAGGGGAAAAAGGAAAGTGAGAGCCTGCAATGATGACCCTACATTCCTCATATTTTACGTTCATAATATGAACGTAAGATTCCCATTGACTTAGGGCCTGTCAATCAAATTGGTTCTATTGTTTCACGAAAATTCTTAACATTTCGATCATTCCTTCACTCAATCGTGACTTGACAACAACGAGCACAACCTTATTATCATTGTAGTTTGTCAATTTTTGTGTACAGTTATTTCTTAATGACTTTCGAAAGTGTYATTTCGCAAGTTTGCGAGAAGCTGGGATAAGTAGTACTAAAGGAAGAACAGAAGTTGGCGGTGGAGACGTTGCTCGACCGTTGAGATGTAATGGCGGTTTTGGGTCCGTGTAACACTCCACAAAGAGCTTTTCAATTTAGTTGGCGTGAATTGGACATATGAAATTTGCCTGATTTTTGAA